TTCTCTACTCCTATTCTAGTCTTAGGAACCATTACTGGAAAGATCCTTCCAGAAAATGATTCAGAAAATCCACTTAACTACATAAGAACAAGATGACTGGCTATGGGGGATACAGGGTTTAAAAAAAAAAAAAAAAGGTTATTATTCTACTACTTCTCATCTCAAATCATTTCTCACATATACATACATACATACACACACACACACACACACACACACACACACACACACCTATGCGAGAGACGATTTGAGATGGGTAGGAGAATGAGACACTCTCTCTCTCTCTCTCTCCCTCAAAGTTTCCACCAAGCAGAAAAAAATCAAGGCTGAGTTCTACTCTGCTCAAAACATTTTATTTTAAACTTAGCTTGTCTGTTTTCACACAAGAAAATGTGTGAAATGTGCTGTCAGGGACTCCTGAAGAACACGTTATCATGTTTGATCAACACACTTAAAGCACTTATCAATTCTCAATGCAGGAAGCCTGAAGGAACATGCTAAGCTAAGTTCTTCAGAAAAAAATTCTCTGTGAAGACCTGAGGGCATTTTTCTAATATACAGAGAAGAAGAAAAATTTGGTTATCAGAAACATTCTTCCAATGCTGCACAAAGTCAACTAGCACAAGCCACATAGACGCTTGGTATGGCGCAGAAGCTTCTACACAGAACCCAGAGCAAAGCCCGCAGATCTGCAGTGCCAGGCGGGCTGAGATATCTTCATTCCAACTTTGCTGGAAACAGCAGGTATCACTTATGTTAGAGGAGGCAGAGACGTTTTCAAGGGAAACATATTCCATTAATGGTTGCTGAAGTCTCTGCTGATCTTGAGGTTAGGATGCTATATTTATTAATGGAAAATCTAAATTAATCTACCAACTCACAGCCTCAGGACAGCCTACAAGATTCATTAATTGTTCTGCTAAAAGAGCTCAGTGAAGTGAATTAAAAAAAAAAAATCAAAATATGAAAGAAAAAATGGTTAAAATCATTGTGTTTGAAGATAGCCAGGCAGAGCTCTCTACTGGTTGTCGAGTATTTTAACAAGAATTGCTTGTAGCCTTGGATGGGCTTTCTAGCTATGAAAAATAAAGTACCTAAGAACAGGAAAAACAAGTTACCCATCCATGAGCAATTGTTCAGGCAATATTCATAAAATGTTTTGGCTTCACTCCACAACAACAGTGCAAGATGATGATGAGAAGGAAAATTGTAAATAAAGAAAAAAAGAATCAGAAAAAACAGTTGCAAAGAAAGTAGTATATCCTGAAAAGCGATTTTCACTCTGAAAAGCGATGCTATAACAACACTTCAAGTCGCAGCTAACTGTGTCGCAGTGTTTTTCCACAGTAAACCTGCTCAGTCTGCAAGCCAAAAGATTACTTTCTCAACTGCTGGTTTTGCAAATTCAACCTGAAATCAGTCATTTTGTGGTTCCACTGTCACTCTGTGTCACATGTGGCCCCACTGAATAAGGCGGTCATTTTTCTGACCAGATTTGCTTGTAGTTTGAAAAAAAGCCACCAAGTACTTCAACATCATCTTCTAACTAAACATAAATCCATCATCATTTGGTCATACTTTTGGGGGGGGGGGGGGCAACATTTTAAAGACTTAGAATGGGTTTTCTCTCACCAATGTCTTCAACTCAGGCACATTCGTATGCTTGTGACATATATTAACATTTCCATAGTAGCAGTGGCAGGTTCGATCTTTGAGAAATGAGTTAGGCATCATATTGGAAAGGGTTAGCAATGCCGCCCCCACCACCACCACCAAGCTGAACAAGTTTTCTGCGTGTGGAAGCCCCATCTGGGACCACAGCTGGACCCCAAAGTGGCAGAAGACAGATGAGAAAAACGGACCAAATACCAGCCGCAGCAGCTTAGAAAAGTTCTTATTTTGTCAACAGTTAGTATTAATACCAAACACAGAAAAGGATGGGTCTTTAGAGGCTGTTTTTGTAATAAGGCACCTTCTTTGTTGTTTTGCTTCCCAGCGGAGGCTCCCCCTGCCCTAGCAGCAGGGCAAGGACCAGAACAGCACGAAGTACGGTAATTGCCACACCAACAGCGAAGGGAGGAAGGAAGCGAGGGGAACGCGCCCTCGTGTCAGCCCAACCAAGGACACCGTCCCCCTTCCCCGTGCTGCGTTTTGTAACATTCTCAAGGGCCGACTGTGGGAGAAGATGACAGCGGCTGCCGAAAGCTTCATCCCTGAGGAACTAGCTAGGATTTGGTCACCTGCTCCAGTGTGTCACACCAACCTTTGTCCTATTCCAAGGACTTCCTTTAATCCCGTTGTCCAGATACAGCTTGACGTGATCATCCTCGATCTCGTTACCACCTTGCAGAAGAGCAGGCGGTGGGCTGAGTCAGGAGTACAGCCAACGGTAAACCAGCCAATTCCAACATGTTCAAACGCAACAAAACCCTGCTAGTCAAATGATCCGGCTCTGTTCATGCTCACCACTGATTCCTTTTACCAAGCAGCAGAGCTCAGAGAAAGAAGGGGGCTATAGTGCCAACATGCTGTGCTGCCAAGAAAAATAAAAGTTATTCCTGTTTTACACCAGCAAAACCTGTCTCCTCCACAACTGAGTTGTCAAGAACCTGCAGACAAAACCTTGCTGTGTAACACCACACTGATGGGTCCTGCAGTCCTCAACCGTCTCTGTCTGTATTCCTCTCATGATTACATGCATTTCTCTGGCTTTTAAAGCACACGTGTGCATCACCCATGTCTTCATTTTGAGGGGCAAGGCCAAGAGTTTTGCTCCTTGCATAATCAGAATGAGTCAATCAATCAAGCTTAGCTGGATATTTAAAAATGGGGTAAAAGTTCGACATACAGAATTGTGGAATGAATTAACGACAGGTCACTACTTCAAATGCTAATTTTATTATCTGGGTCCCTGTGGCCCATTACGGGCACAGTCGCTCCAAAATAGGAGCAAGTAGTGTGCAGGTTTTACTACAAACTCGCAAGTCATCTTGCTTTGCAAGAGAGCCGATTTGGGTAGCATCACTCAATGCCTGGTACGTAGGGATTTCCTTGTATACTGAATTGCAACCCCCACACACCCAAAAGCGGTCAAACGGATCCAGTACCCTGGCCCACACCGCTGCCAATACGCCAGGTGCTTCAGAGGAGAAACCCTGCGATAAGCAGCTAAGGGATAATCCTAGCCAGCCCCAACTGGTAGTCACTGGCTTACACCCTGACGTGGGCGGGCCGGCAGCCCTTCTCAAATGGCCACGTGACTGGAACTAACTCACAGCAGCTTGAAGTCTTTTTGTTCACAAAAAGGTCCAATCTTTTTTTGAGGCCTGCTAATCTCTTGGCCTAAATGGCATGTGGTGGCAGCGGAGTCCACAAACTAACTGTGCATTACGTGAAAGAGGACTGCTTTTTCATTTTGAGTTTGCCTCCTCTGAACACCAGCGCTGAAAGCCCCCTTGTCTTTCCATTATGAGAAAGCGCCCCCTTTTCCTCCAGCCTGCCTTCCCTCAAACGTTTAATTATTTCGCTCCCTTAAAGTAAAATGTTCCAGTGCTTTTCATCTCCCAACGTGATTTTTCTGTTTATAGAGCAATGGGAAAAAAACAAGCCAGGTGATACCCTCGTTCTCCTCTGACACCTCTGTTCTAAGCAAGGTCTCATTTCTCTTTTTTGCTGAAAAACTTGTGTCTCAGAAATTGCAGGGCCTGAACCTTCTCTCACGATACTCGGGAAAGCGTGCTGGCTTTGGTGGAGTTAATCCTGCATTACACCAAGCTGCCTTCTGAAGAACCTGCCTTTTCCTCCTAAGAGGTGTCTGACAGTCTGGCCTCCAGCCAATGAAAGCATACATGGATCAGAGCTTTGCAGCTGTTTGCTTTACAACTTCATTCACTTCTAGCAAAATCATTCTAATAGGGAAAAACACGTATTCTTGGGGCAGACTGTGGGTGTGGGTGGAAACGCTTGGGCATGCGTGGACCCACTTTAATCACTGGCTACCGAAACCTCGTACACTTTTTAGAAGTGAAGCGTGGCACTTCTACACACAGGCCCCCCGGTTCTTCCAGTCATTCCAAGTCCCCGCAAGAAACCCACGCGGGTGCAGGATGTGGATCTACGCTGGCAGAGCCACTCACTGATAACCACCTCCTGTTTCTCTAGGAAGCTGCTTGTTAGGAGATCAGCTGTCCTGTGGGCCTGACGGTAAGCCAGGCTGCGGGACTACCCTGCTGACACGAGCACTGGAACGAGCGCCGCCACGCATGCCAGGAAGCAACCTTCTGCACTTCTGTCGAAGAAATGTTTTTCGCGCATGCTAGAGAAGCTGCTTTGGGACTAGGCAGAATGTATCGCATGACCTTTGTGTACCAAGACGGCTACCCGATGCAGTGTGCCTAGGGCTTGTCTACATCAGAGCAGAATTCAAATGAGTTTACTGTCCATTCACTTGAGACTTCACCCATTTGTAAAGGCTAGTGTGGATGCTCCAGAAACATTTGACCTATGCCAGATTTCTAGCTGTCACCAAGTACCACTCAATAGAGATGATCCTCCCTGCTTTCCCCCAACCCTCTCCATAAATCTCTATTCCACAAATAATAGAGGAAAATGTATATATATGAATTTAAACCTACCAAGAAAATACTCAACTTCACAGAATAGGAAAGAAAGAAGCCACTTCTGAGGAAGTAGGGTGGACAAAGTCCTCTGAGGCTGACAACACCCAACTGAAACTGCTCATTTAAGTAAGAGACAAATTTAAACCAACAGTACTGGTAAGGAGATCTGCTATATCGCTACCAGGTCTGGCAACACAGCTCTGAAAGCAGAAGGCAGGCCATAAATGGGAGAACTGAGCGGGGTCATTGTGACTAGATGAATTTCAATAACAATTTGCCCAAGTTAATCTTACCCCCCCCCCGGTCTTTGGGTATTCCCCAAAGAAAACAGCACAAGGAATAAGTCCCTGGTAATGAACCGAGGGAGAGCTCACAGGCAACCTTTGAATCTGCTTCTTCAGCAGCAGCAGCAGAGAGCACGTGCCGTCTGCCGGGAAGAGGGCTGCTGCTTCTGATGCCCAGTTCTCTGCCTCCCGACAACAATCGGACTGGAAAGAGCTTTGAGAATGATCTCAGCACGAGGATGCCTGACTCTTTAATCTGAAAGGTATTTTCTTCATAAAGACTGGGCTTGGCACGAACCTAGACAGCAAAAGTAGCTTGAAAAAGCTTCAGCCTGCCAACATCTGGTTGCAGATGTGACTGCTTTGGACTGAAAACTCCAGACCTGCTGAAAGGCAGCTCCTCCTCAACGCTGCGCTGTGCAAAGTAAAACTCTGTCCTGCGGAGAAGGGCCAGCCACAGAGTCCAGCTGCTTGGTCGGAGCAACTACAGAAGCAGCCCCAGCTGGGATTTTCACACCCCCAGCCCCCGAGACCTTTCCACAGTCAAGCTGGACTACCCCTCCCTCAGGGGGTCTGCAGATGAGCTTCACACCATACCCATCTCTTCTCCTCTGGCCTGTCCTCTCCTTCCATGTAGGCACCCCTTTCCAAGTCCTTCCCAGAAGCATCCTCCCTCCCCAAAGGGAAACCACCTAACCACCAGCACTAATGCCCACTGCTATTGTCACACTGTTCACATACTGCCTCCCAAACCCCGCTCTGCTCGGGGCTTGCCTATCAATGGCACGGACTGTCTACTCCACATCTGTGCCGCACCTAGAGCAACCAGGCCTCACCCTTAGCTGCCACTGGACACGACTGTGAAAACAGGCATTAATAATGTGTGTTCATACAGTATACCTGGTACTTCTGCACACACAGGTTCTGTGCAAAGAAAAATATTAAAAATCAATACAATAAAAGAATGAAGCGGTGTAAATGTACAGCCAAGCTGAGCCAAACAACGCAGCCACAAGGCAAACCCAGCTACCCCCAGGCTATCTTAGGAGAAGCAGCATACAACTGCTCCTGGGCCTGGGCCTGACTTCCTTGCGTCAGACTGCAATCAAGGACTACTGCCGTTTACAGAAAAGGTCTCTGCTTCGCAAGGAGCCGCCGTACAGAGCTTTATCTTCAGAGACAACATGATATTGGCTGCAGCAACTTCAAGACTGGATTCAACTAAAGGGTGGAGATAGTAGTTTAAAAAAAAAAAAATCAAAATGTTTTTCACAAATTTGATTTTAATTGAATATACTTTTCTTTATAAAAATAAATCTATTTAAATTTAAATGTGAAATTATGACATCCTACGGTAATGCTTAAACTAACCACAATCTATTAAAACCATTTAAATTAAATTAAAATATTCAAGCAGTAAATGTCTGCTGCTGAAGGTAAAATGACTGACCTGATGGCAGTCACTAGCTTAGCATCTGGAACGGGAACCTGAAGTGCTAAACTAGCTACTGACAGCAGTAGCCTCTTTTGCAGGTGCAGAGAATATTTTCATTTCAGTTTATGGAATCGATTCAGTTCAATGACTAGTTCATTCAAAGTTAAAAAAAAATAATCAAGTGGGAGTTGAAAAAGCAGGAAAACTTGTTTCCCTCTTCCAATCCACGAGTAAAAACTGGGTGTGAGAGGTGAGATTTACTAGCTTGAAATTTCTGAAGGACATAGTGTTTCTGGTCACTAATGGCAGATAATACTTCCTTTGTTTAATAAATCAGTTTTAATGCAAAACATGTTTTGATAAACTTGCTTTATGTATCCAGCACATTTAAGGTAGTTTTATATGACTAACAAAAACAATTTTAAAATGCTGGTTTTGTACAGTTAATTGAATCCCAATATCTATGCAAATAGAACTTGACAAATCACTAATATAAAATTTAGTCCAGTAAAAAAGAAATGCATCATTCACTGTTTTCTAGAATAATAAAACACTGTAAAATGAAGAACCGGAATGAATGCGATACTCTATATCAGTTGAAATAAAGGGCTATTGATACAGCGTGTCCTGCTTAGCAAGAACTATCACATTAGGGGTCCATTCAGTTGTAATTCAAGGCATTTTAACAGTTACCAGCCAACGAAAACTAACTTCTCTTTGGGAAATGACTACAAGTGCAAATGCAAAATAAGATTAAATGTGGTGATTTAAGTCGTGTCCTGCTTGCTGATTTAAGTTGTGATTAAAATCAAGGATTTATATCACTTTAGATTGGACTCGGTCCATCCGAAATATTGAGCCCCCCTCTGTACCAGCAGTTGACATATCCTGTGCAAAGCATTTTAAGAATGCGGTGTCCTCCAGCTGCTTAAGTCCAGATAAATTCAGAAATGTTTTCTTTGGATGTCTCAGATGTGCCTTTCCACAGCTCACGCACATGCAGGTAGTCAATAAAAACTCACATAAGGCCCTGCCCCGAGACAGGCTTGGTACGGGCAAACCCTGGCAGCTGCGTGTGACCGAGCGAGCACAGAGGTCCGCCTGCCTGCAGACCATCGCAGGAACAGGTCTCAGTCTGTCTCCCATGTACAAAACAGCAGTCCAGTGAGTCAGATCAGGCCTTGTCCTTACACCTAAACTTTTCCCCACACACAAACCCAGAGCAGTGGGGCTGGCAGGGATCTCCGGAGGTCACATCTAGTCCAGCCCCTGCCTGAAGCAGGATCAGCCCTCTCCAAACCAACCACAGTCTAAACTGTGTAGGACCACCATCAGCCCTAAGACAACACAGACATAACGCCCTAACCTGCCACAGGGGAACCACGGCAGTCAGCATCTTGCTCCTATGAAATCCTGTCAATGTATGCTCAAGAGATCCCAGGCAGAGGGCCATGCCCCCCCGCAGAGGAAGGCAAAACCCTCACAGTCCAGACCAATCTGACCACAGGGGGAAATTCCTTTCTGACCCCAAACATGGGGATCGGTCTGACCCCGAGTGGAGGGGCAAGAGCATCTAGCCAGGAACCTCGAGCTTTGGTCCCAGCAGGAGCACTGGCACAGCCCAGCCAGTCCCCAGCCTTGGCTGCAGCCAGCACCCAATGCCTCTGAGGAAGCCCCCACAAACAACATGTAGCAGAAACCCCGCCTGACATGGGGCAACTAGCAAAGCCCAGAAGCCTGGGAAATTCCCAGAGCCGAACACAGACATCGCTAGGCCTAGATCATCCCCAGCCAGGGGCTGTCCAACATCTGCCTGACAGCTCACCATGGAGCCCACCCCTTCCCTCAGCAGTCTAGTCCACTGCCCCGCTATTCTCATAGCCAGGGAGTTTTTCTGAGTATCCAACACACACTTACTTTGCTACAAGTTCAAGCCACTGGTCTGTGTGCGCCCTGCTCTCTGCAGCAAGGCAGAAAAAGTGCTTTCCCTCTTTTTCGCGGCAGCCTTCCAAGTATTTGAAGACGGCTATCGTGTCCCGTCTTAAGCACCTTTTCTGCAAGCTGAACATGCCAAGCTCCTTCCGCCTCTCCTCATAGGAATTGCCTTCCTAGCCCTGGATCATCTTCGTTGTTGCCCCTGAACCCTCTCTAAATTCTCCATGTCCTTTTTAAAAAGATGACCTGACGGATCTGAAATCCTCAAGCGATTGTGTAGTGGTGGCTACATATTTTGCACTCACATGCATATTTTTTGGTTCTACTGTACAATTAGTAAACTAAACTAGTTTTTTTGAGCTGGGCTTCCCTGCAGCACTACAGGTATAACTCAAGAGTCACCCCAGCCTGACTGCCAACCATATAGACATTTCTAGCTTGAGTTAAGCAGTGCTTAACCCATCAGCCAGCATGGGTGGGAACACTTGAACTTGAGCAAGTTGCACCAGGTGTGCAGCTGCAGACCATGAGGCTGAGTTAGCACAACTCATCTGCTAATGCCACCAGTCTGTGCAAGTGAAGTGTTGCTTGGTTGCTCTTATTCTATAATTTTCTATAAACTAGCTGCTGCAGTGAAGACAAGGCTATCAGCTGTTTTCCATGTTTATTTCTTGCACTGATGACATGCTGCTGCTGCTGCAGCTCTCTGGTATCTTTACAAGCTCTCTCCGTTGACACAAGTTTCCAGTGTAGGTTACCAGTAAAAATCATCCTCATTTGATAATCGTTTCGAAACTGCTTCGTTTTTCATGCCATACGCTAACAGGCCCTTTAATGCACCATATAACTCCTTCCAGGCTGTCATTGCTCCGGTAATTTCTGAATATGTGCTGAATTCAGAAATTTGTTTCGTCGTCTTTTTTGGTTTATAAAAAGCAGAAACATTACGCACCCACTACTGGCTTGGAAAGTGAGGATTTTGTACAGCTTCCACAATCTCTGCAAATGTTTTGTTTGCTGGTTTTGCAGAGAGCTTTTGGCTTTGCAGCAGTTTAAAAGTTTTAATTCCCGTTACGCTCTCCATTTTCTCATTGCTTACATCATTGGTGATTACATACTGCTCTATTTCTATATATTTGAGCCAAACTTCTACTAAACTATGAAAATAGATCAGGTTTTCCTAAATAACCAGACATTTATAACCCCTTTTCTTCTTAAAGATCAGCACGCTAGTGGTCCCAGATAGCCTTTTAGTTTCATTTTCACCTGGTCCCTGGAGTCGCCTTGTATTGCGCAGTATTCCTAGAACAGTCTCCTATGCTCACCAAGGGCCAGCCTTAGGGGAAATGGTGCCCCGGGCGACCTTTCTTAGAGTTCAAGTATGTAGTAGCATTAGTGAAAGATTTAGAAATAAAGCCCCAGGGGAGCTGCTGGGCTGGATCAGGAGACCTGCTTTCCCACCGGCAAGCACCACTGGTGCCATGCAGGAGCAATGCGGCTGGACTGGAGCAGGTGCCTCCCCCCTCTCATGTGCTCGCCTGGCCCGGCTCCTCCTCAGCAGTGGGTGGAGGTGCGGGGTGCTGGGCTGGGCACTGCTCCTCCTGGCTGGGGTGGGACACAGGGAGAGTGCTGTTGTGAGCGCGAGCTGCTCACACGCGTGTGCATGTGGCACCCCCGACCACAGCACCCTGGGTGGTTGCCCACCTGTAAGACTAGCCCTGTCCTCACCTCCAACTTTTGCATCATTTGCTCTTTACAAAACATTAAGAAAGCACGTCTCCACAGCTGGGTCCCAAACAACTATGCGTACTAATTTAC